TATTTGGACAGGCATTAAATAGTTTATGGAGGATAATGTAGATTTAGCTAATTGAATATCTATTTGTATTCTATAGCAGTTTTATAAAATAAAAAAAGGATCGCTGAAGTAAAAAAAAAATAAATAAATATGCTAACGGCATACTATACCCTCCACAGTTAGCATTTACAACAAAAAGTTCAAATCGTTCTTGATTTGTTTTAAATGTAGAGTCTATTACTATTTCAGTTATATTTTCTATACCAATTCGACGAAACAGTGGAGTAACAAATTCCAAAACATGTACAAAATTATTATCCAAATGAGTAAGAATTTTAAACCCTCTAGCTAAATATCAAACCGTTCTAGGTATATTTAGATAAAAAAAGCTGATTATCCTGGTTTGTAAGATAATTTTGCTTACTATAAACTGATGCCCAATAATATACTTGTTTTTTTGTATATATAGAGTTAATTAATTTATTCTTAGCTAGATATCGATACATATCTGCACTTTGCAAGTTATATTGTAAATGTCTTTAGATTCATTGTTTTGCTTCTTTTGAAAATTCAGTTTGTTGAAATGATGAATATTTGTAGACGCACAAATATTTGTATTGTATACTTGCGCACTGTAGTTGTATATTTATACTAACTGTAATTTTGCCATTGCAAGAAAATTGTTGTATTGCAGCACAGGCTTCACTTCGCCTTTTAATCTCTTGATTATCTTGTTGCCAAATTCAATCTTTGCATGATGTATGATAAAGGTATGCAGTAGCACATCCTGTAAATTCTTTTTTTTTAAATTTAAACATAATTTATATACATTCCAATAGTATTCAGATCCAGATTCCAATAGTAAAATAAGAATTTTAATAAGTTGTAAAAAGTTATCTTTAATATTTTTCAAGTCTAATGGTTCATTTTTGAAATTTTGACCAAGCTTAATAATATCTAAAAGTTCTAAATCCAATTCGATTTCGAATTCAAACTTTGTGGGCTCATCAGATAACTCAGCATTCTGAAATTGTATAGTAACAAAATTTTCTACTTCATCTAAACAACACGAAAGCATATTATTATTACTGTTATATTCATTATCTTGTATAGTAGTATTTTCTTCTATCTCTTCTATTTGTATCGCATTTGCAAATTCATCAAAAAAAGAACTAGCTTCTGATGTTGGCTCATAATCATTATAAACATCAAGGCTGTCATTAACTTAAAAAGTATTTAAAACATTATTAATGTAGGAAATTGAAGTACTAATGGTCAGAACTGTTAAATTAAGGTAGGTATCTGTTTTTTCCTTCTTTTCATGTCTCTTTTTAGTGTGATTTTCAGAGCACATATTACAGGTTCTATGTTCAAACAGTAGATTATAACTGCGAAGATGATAGAAATCACTTTTTACTTTTATCACCTTACAATAGAAACATTTTTTGGTTTCAGAGCTTTGAGTAAGAACTTGAGATGAAGATGAACTGCTTTCGCTCATTTTTATTAAAGTTATATAACAATAATGTAATTATTCAATATAATTTAGTTAAAATAAAAATATAAGAGGAAGATAATTTTTTATTAAAATTTAAATCAAATTTTACAATCTTTTACTCAAGATAAAACGCATAGGTTAAATATATTTTTTGATTATTTAAATTATATATTTTGTTATAATTTATAATTTCTTTTTCTACAATATATTATTATGATCTTAATTGCGCAACTATACTCTTCAGTCACCAAAATGCATACTAAATAAGGTATAAATGAATATGCATATACACGATTAATTATACTTTTTAGCTGATCCAATAAAATCTATATATTTACTAAATAAGAGATAAATAATATATATAATTTAGATCAATTATACTTCTCAGCTAATCTAGTGAGCTTTGAATGCATACACAATTAATTATGATCTTTGGCTGATCCAGTAAATAAGAAATAAATAATATGCATAATTCAGATTGATTATGCATGTCGACTAACCTAGTGGGCTTGAATACATATATAAATTAAATAAAAGATGAATAAATATAGGTGTCTACAATATCTGTAAACAATTTGTTATTATTTAACTACTATATATATTATTCAGCTTCTGCAAATATGCATGCATTTATACACTTTTCTAAAGGTATTTCTAAATTTCATTC